ATTAAAATTTATCAAAGATTTGTATAAGTATAATGCACATGTTTAAAACATAAAATTTACAAATATAATAATACATTTTTAGTCAATCAGGTTATTTTTAAAGTCAATGTAAAAACAATATAAAAACAATTTTTAAAATAATAAATTTAGGGTATAAGATTAAATTTTCCTTGTACTCGTCTTTGTTTTGAGTGAGAGATATACCACGCGTGAGCCAATTTTTTTAGTGAATCTTTTTCTGAGTCAAGAATTTTTCTTTTCCCATGAAGTATTCTGTTGATTTTGGTGCAATAGTGGTTGATCATCATCTTAACAACAATACCAATCATTTTTGTCTGAAAAAGATGGGCATGATCTTGACAATGCAGTATGTTATTGAAATTATAAAGTGAAGAAATTGTGTTTGTAAGAGAAACATAAATATTTTCATGATGACAGATTTTAGACATATTTTCTCCAATGAAATTTAATATTTGTTCTATGGCTATTTGAAATGTTAGAGATGGATATTTCAGTGAATTTTGACTCAGACGATATTCTCGAGCAGCAATTAGTTGATGGTGTTTAGATGGTCTATTGGAGCATATTTGACTTAGGCAATGCTTGCAATTTTTAAAAAATTCTTTATTTAATTTTCTTATAATAAATCCAGCCATGTAGTATGTGTTTGTCCTTGAAGGTAAGATGCAGAATCTGGTAGTTGGTTTATTGCCACTGGAAGGTCAGCAGCTATGATTTTATCACTGGTTGGTGTATTTTTCTGTGCAGAGAGGAATAAATTTTTGAAAGAAGCCAAGCTTCCTTCAGTAAAGTCTTCTTCACAATTAGATGCTGGTGAATGCGAAGATACCAAGTTATTTAAAATGAGATTTTTGTAGGCTGAAGTAAAGGCATTTCAATTAGGATTTGCTGATCCAACGTTCCTAATTGCTCCAAAAAAAACATTCAAGTGAATCTTGGTTTATATTGCGTGGCAATAACGATTTAATACCGACCGAACTCGACTTTTTACAATGATTGAAATGCTGAAATCATAATATTATTTATAGTTGTGTGAATAAATAAAATAATTCAAAGACACATACATCTTATCGTAGTCATCCAATTACGTATTGTTGGAACTGACACTTTCTTCCCATTTTTACCAACAAAACTCATAGTACTAAGTACTTTTAAACTTTGTTCCCAGAGTTTATGATGTGGTGAATTTTTTTTAACTGATGTTCTGTATATTTTGCCATCTACAACCTTATCAAAATTGCCATTCAACGAGTCAAACAACTTGTCAAAGAATAAACAAAGACATGCAGTGTGTTGTGCTTCTGAGCTTATAATATTACGAGCTGTAAACAAAAAAAATATTTAAAGTTATAAACAGTTATAAGAAAATAAACTTTAAATATTTTTTACCTGCTAAAAAGTTCATTGTCGAAGACACCTGTTGTGAAAAAACTTGTGTAGCATTTTTGACCTTCATTTTTGAGATTTTCTCTGGTATGATATGCTGGTCAGTAAGATGTGGTAACATTTTGCAGTCAGGAATAGCATTATCTACACTATATAAGTCAACTAAGTGTGACCATTTAGCACATTTCACTTCATCATCAATAGTAAAAACTAAATCCTTAGTAATTAAATTATTCCGTACACATTTCATTAAATGTGGAACATCATATATGTGTACCAATTTTAATCTTTTCTTATTCATCAATTCAATTTCATAAAAATTGTCATCATACGGTAATTGGTTTTTAAGATAAAAATCTCTTGTTTGTTGATTTAGAATCTTGATAGCTCCAACATTAGCACTCCCTTGGTCACTTACAGTTGCCACAACCCGCAAGCCACATTCATGAACTCGGCGTATGACCTTTTCAATAGATGAAAAAGATAAATTAATTCAATAATACTAATTTAAAAAGTTAATTGATAAAAATATTTAATAAATTTACTTGTTTCAATTGCTGAAGTAGATCATATTGTTTAGTTGCTCCATTACAAAAAGAGTAGTTAACAGGTTGCTTAAATTTTTTTTTAATGCCACGAACCATAAAAATGAGAGCATGGTCAGCAATATATTGATTATTGCTGTAGCCAGTATCAACAAAACCATCAATTTGGTCTGTGGCTGAATCATATGTCAAACCACTTGACAAGCACACTTCATCAAATAATATTGTGCAATATCTATTAAAATTTAATAAAAAAATTTAATTTATTTTAATATATAATTATAAAATAACTCACTTTTCAGAGGGCTTCAGATTTTTTACATTTTCTTCTAGCACGCTCATTAATGATGGGCAAATACCAGTAGATATTACAACTGAAGACAATATTGTATTAAGACTTCGTTTACTTGGCAAAGTAAAAAGTTTAGATAACATTCTGTAACATTTTGGTGATCTTTTATAAAGTGACAAACTTAACATTTTTTCATCAAATGTAAATCGTCGGCCTCTGCTGAGTTTGCTAGTTTCTCTTATTTGCAAGCGCATAAATAGAGAAGCAGCAGCAGTCATTTTATCAGAATTTTTCCCCATGATATAATCATCAGTGAACTTTTCGGCAGCTTGGAGTCTATCCTTAAATAAGGTTTTTCGAATATTTGTTCGTCGGCATTTTTTTAGTTTTTTAGTTTTTAGTTATACTATAACAGCTTTCTACTCCTAGGTGTCAGCTGCTTACAATTAGTAACTCCAACTTCTTTAAGTACACCTAAACGATAAATTGCGTTAATTATGGCAATTTAAATATTTAATAATAATAATTTAATTTTTTAAAACTARTCAAACACCAATATTATTAATCATTATTAACCTAGTTTTTTTTTTTGAACTTTTGATTTTTTTTTCAAAGCTTCACAAGCTAAATCAAAGGCAGTGCATTCATTGTCAATTCTACAAATATCAGCATATACATTAAGTATAATAAAGTAAAGCAATTAACAATTAGCATAAAAATGAATGTTTGGCTTTCATGCATAAACATTTCAGTAAATAGATACATACATATATCTTGAGAAACTAATAGATCAGCAACATCATCTGATTTAGTGTCAACATTTGCATCCAACAATTCTATTCAACACTCTATTCAGAATAACCTTGCCCACTTTAGCGCACGCTAGTGGTGGGAAACTATCGATAGCATTATCGATACTATCGATAGTTTATACTATCGTGTACAATCGATATTTATTTTTTGGGTTATCGATAGTAAGCGATAGCAAAACAGGAATTGTGATATCAGACAAAAGATCTAGAATCAAGCCAAAAAATGTCGACATGTTGGTTTTCTAAAACCAAAATTGTTGGTTAACATAAATAGTATAATCATTTTTATAATTGAAATGGTTATTTTTTTTGTTAAATATTTATACTTTTGGTTAATATGCTATTTATTTATATATTATTAGAGCGTGGATGTTTATGACTTAGCATATTTTTTTCGTACAGCCAGAATTACACCGGAGTATGATATAAATCCGATTCATGAAGTCTAGATTACAAATAAGCAAACTTATTTTGCATATTTTTGCATATTTTACAGTTTTGAGCATATAAATGCATATATTGATTATTTCTAGATTAAGTAGCATTTATTTTATAAATTATATGTATAA